AAGGTGGTTTTCATGATGTTTTGATTGGAGAACCATTTAAATGCATTCAAAAACAATTCCCACAAAAAAAGACTCGAAAACCACTTCATTTAAGTGAAAACCACGGCTAGCCAAGTTTATGCCGTTTCGCGTGGTTTTTATCAAACGACAAAAAACGAAAGGTGGTTTTTGAAGTGTTTTTGATGGAAAACTATTTAAATGTGCCCAGAAGTAAAAACAAATCATAAAAAGTTGAAAACCACTTGCTTAGTTCGGACGCCAAAAACCAACGCCGAAAACCGAATGCCGAACGCCGGTTTCTGAAACCCGAACGCCGGATGGCTTGATTTTTGGTTTGGGCGAACACCAAGTGTTTTTAATGTTTTAAACATGTTTGAAAAACATTTTTATGATGTGTGAAATGCAATGAAAAGAATTTTAGCCTAAAGAGCCAGGGTGTAAAGGTTGGGTCGGTCTTGATCACAATTATGACCGACCTAACAACACTAAGACTACGGTCTTCGTTCTTGGTCTTCCTTTGAGTCTTGTTCTCTTGCTTTCTTCTTATATTTATTTCTCGCCTTGTATATTCAATAACTTGTCTCGTTCACGGCGGTTTGGCATTATCAAAACCTGTCATAAAAACGAACACGGCTTTAGTACGAAAACACGATAAACCCGTGTTTCAACACCTAGGTTTTTCAAAACGGTTTTCAGCTGGCTAGACTTTAGCAGGGTGATAATCGATTATCACCTTAGTGACAATCGACTATCAGCCCCTGCAGCTTTGAACTTCCAAAGTTCTGAAGCACGCAATAATTGATTATCAGCTTTGCAATAATCGATTATCAGTCTTTGCAGCCAAAACCCAGAATCTTCTGAGAGGACCAATAATCGATTATCACTTGTTGACAATCGATTATCTAGGTTACCGTTGTCCTCCAACGGATAGAATTTTAAATTTTTGGACAGGGAATCTTTGGATAATCGATTATCATGGTTTGACAATCGTCTATCAGCCTGTGTCCCTGAAAAATTTGTCTTCATCCTGTTGGAAATTCTAGCAACGGGTTTATCCCATTTTGGGCTATAAAATGGCACCCAAATCCTCTCATTTGACACACAATTCTTCAACATTTCAATACTCTTTCATTGCATAAGCATTCCTATTTTTCTTAGCTATTTGAGAGCCAATTCTTGAAGAAATTGTCGTGTTCTTGAGCGTTTACTAGTTCACTCATANACCTTTCCTTCGTACAACCAAGGGAAACAAGCTTCCCTAAACGTGTTTACAACACTAAGACTACTCAAGAACAAGACTCTCTTTAAGAGTAGATGTTGAGTAAACTATATACGCTCAAGAACAACTCAAACTTCACAAATTGGCTCTAGAAAGCTATGGAAAATAATGTTGTTTGGATGCAATGATAATATGAATAAAGTGAAGTGAATTGTTGAGAAAAGCAGACCCAACACCCCTTTTTATAGTGCCAAAATAGGCTCCAACGGACCAATGCATTAAAGGGGTGATTGGCTTGATTTAAGGGATTTGAATAAATTTGGGATCTGCAGAATATTGGCTTCCCATCGATGTTTGGAACTTACCCATCGCTGGTAAGCCAATTTTCCTTCAGTTTTGAAGCCAACGGTTACCTACCCATCGATGGGTAAATGCTTCCCATCGCTGGGTGGGAGGTTGACTTTCAAATAAGGAAAGAATCAGCCTTAAATGACTCCCAAGGGTCATGCCTTCCCATCGATGGTTAAGCCTTCCCATCGCTGGGTTCCCATCGATGGGTAAAGCTTCCCATCGCTGGGTAAGGGCATTCTGCCTTGTGGTAATGTTGCACCAAGGCTTTAACAGCGATGGGTAGAACTTCCCATCGCTGTTTGGCATGGTTTTGGAAATTAGTTTCGTTGAGGGACTGCTTACCCATCGATGGAAAGATCTTCCCATCGCTGGGTGGCATGATTCTGGAATCCCGGGATCGCTTACCCATGCATGGGTAAAATCTACCATCGCTGGGTAGATGGCTAGCCGAGAACCATGGCCTAGCCGACCGGCGCTCAAACCCGACCAAAAAATGCAAATTCTCCAAAGTAAAAACTAAGTATTTAAAACACTTATTTAATGTATTGTGATGTCAAAACAAGCTTTGTAAGTTGAAAACCACGTCGTTAAGGTAAAAATCATGGTTGACCAAGTCAACACCGTACACGGGTGGTTTTCACCAAAAGACAAAACCGGAAGGTGGTTTTCATGATGTTTTGATTGGAGAACCATTTAAATGCATTCAAAAACAATTCCCACAAAAAAAGACTCGAAAACCACTTCATTTAAGTGAAAACCACGGCTAGCCAAGTTTATGCCGTTTCGCGTGGTTTTTATCAAACGACAAAAAACGAAAGGTGGTTTTTGAAGTGTTTTTGATGGAAAACTATTTAAATGTGCCCAGAAGTAAAAAC